GAGGAAGTTCTTCTTTTGTTCCAGTATTTATGCACAGCGTCAAAGTTGCGCGTTGAGGAGGCGGAGCGGTAGCGCTGCGCGAGAGGAAGAAAAAAAAAAGACCAAACGCCAGCGCTCGACCTTAGATACTCAAGACTCGAACCCTACGACCCGCACTGGATCAGATTAGGTCACGTGCTACAGAGCAGCGACCGAGTCGGGTGTCATAACTGCACACAACACTGATCTCGACGACATAAGACCGGTGGTGTTTCCACAGCATGGCGCGAGAACCAGGCTTTACCTTTAGCTGCGCGAGTGATGTCAAGTGCTTTACTATGATCCGCTCAAGTGCGCGTTCACAGACTCATCTTGTGTAGCCTACTCCTTCCAATGTGAGATATTTTGTTGAAGTTATGATAGAGGTAAGAAACTTTCATCGTGAACAGATTTGAGATTTTCTTCAAACTGATACGCGATAACAAAAAACATTTTCTCGGTGCATGACATGTCATGGAAATAAAAAAGAAAAAAACATTCGTTTCAAAGTTTGAAGTTGATCTGCATGTCATTTTTTCTTTGCCGTACACCTGCATAAGCATATTTGAAAGTATATTTGTGTTTTATGAAAAAAGTAAAGAAAGAACTCACTGTGATTTGAAACAGCTGACTTCTGCTATTGGCTGGTGTTTGGTGTGTTCAACTGCATTAGGGCAACTAAAGCCTGTCAAATATCATCATATGCTAAACCTCACTTTGGTTAGGATGCGTGGCACGAACGTTCAACAGTAAGCATAACTGCTTAAGCACATGTGTTTTCTGTTTCAACAATTTCGTCTTTAAACCTATAATGGTATAAAAGTTAAACATTGTTCATATTAAGGTTTACACGTTTTTTGATCTCAGTTCCCTAAGGCAAATAAGCACTTTTCACCTTTGAGTATTTTTTTATTTTCCAATTTTCGTATGTCAAAAAGCACTTATAAAACAACCTTTATGGGTATGCAAAACAGTGACTTCGAAAGTTAAGGGTAATCCAGCTGCTAGTTCATTAACAAGGGATTCGTACAACTGATTAATGCTAAATGTTGCCTACAATATTAATATTTTATTTGAATAGTTTTATTTTGGATGGCACGTGGCGTTTAGGAAGTTAATTTGAAAGTGGGGCTATTTATAACAGGCAAAAACACACGGCCTGTTGACACAGCTGAGGTGAGGTTTTCAGCATTTTCCAACCTTCCTCTACTCACTCTCAAACGAGCAAATACAGGCGAACGATTATCACTAGGTGGCTGTAGGTGATTTTAGGATTAAGTAAATATATAAATAGGAATCCAGCAAAATAGCCTATAATCTAATCAAATTAAAATGATCTAAGCAATTTAGGGTAATACAATTAATATTTATGCCGTTTTACTAGTGAACCAGTCAGATATTTGCCTGTTTTCGTTAAGATTATCATTCTCTTAGAGATAAATCAAATCATCTTGACTAATTCCTAACACAATCAATCAATCTGCTGGTATTTTACAACGATTTGATACGTTAGTAATAGGAGCAATTGCAAAATAAAAGTTTAAAGCAATAATATAGTAGTTCTGCTACATAAAAATGCATAACCCTCGGATTTCAAGCTGCTGCAGAACAAATGAAAATGTAGAGTAACGAATTCACTCTTTCAACGAATGAATTTATCAACTAAATACGTTGCCTGCTCGACTGACTAACGAATAAGTTTGTATCCTTTCATTTCCTGTTGTTGTTTCCAAATATGAAAATACATAAATTCATCATCACATCCATATAGTAAAGCTGCTTATTTAAAAACGCAGTAGGCTACAGTTTGTAAAATGGCACACGTTTATGTATAACAGCTTTAAAACAAATCAGTTTGCTATCTATCACACAATAAGACAACGCAAAATAAATGGACGCCTCCAAGTTTCATCAAGCCTGCGATATTAGTAGCCTACCTTCAAGTTTGAGCTTTTTATCCTGTTGAAAGTAAAAGCCTGGCTCGTATCATAATTTTTATGATACATTTTTAAATTACATTTTTCAGTTTTACTACCAATAAGTAAAAAAAATAAATAAATAAGAAAAAAAAAAAAGAAAAAAAAAGGTCAAAACAAATTTCCTGTCGCTACGAGTCAAATGATAATAGATCCAATAGATCACGCTCAGTTTGACTCATCAGACCTCTAGTGACAGACCTGGAATGTCAAAACACGACATTCCCAACGTGTTCGCCGAAAATGAACACCGACGAACTGTGGTCATTTTATGCAATGCATCTCTGTAGGTTGCCCCTCCTACTAAAATATCATCCTATAAATTGAGATGGACAGCTGACAGTATAAATAATGCACACATTATTAATAAGTTAGCGCGTGACTTCAATGAGTGATAGTAAGATTACACGATGTCAACCCGTTTGTGGCGTTGGAAAACATTGTGTGGGCTATACTTTGCTCCTGGGAGTGTGTTAGTGTGTGTGCAAAAGTAAAACTAAAAACCCCTGTAAAATGTCACCATTTTCTTTACAGCAATGTTATGGGAGCATGTTAATGTGCAAGGTGTGTTTGCCTAATTTTGCATGTGTGTGGGAGGAGGTAAGGCTCAGATGCAAAATAATAATCGTTATTCTGATCTGTTCCATCAACGAGTTTATAAAACAGAGCAACAAGTCAGATGTGTTTAACAAGCCTGAGCTGAAAATGTCACTGTGTGCCTTGAAGTTGTGCCACGCTCTTTTTTCCAACCAGATTTCATTCTGTCTGTCTCTTACGACACTAATGGAGTTACTCAATATTGGTGTCTGTGTCATATCTCTGTGTAAGTGAGAAAAACAACAGAGAGGGTGCAATGAACCTCATAACTAATAGTTAGGCCTAGTTTTTTTTATAAACAGATTGGTACATGAGTGATGGTAAAGACATGTTAATCAGAATAATATTTTAAAATGTTTAGAATTCATGTGATATTAAATAAGATTTGAAATAGATTAAAAATCTAAACTGTGATGAACTTTTTGTGTAGAAACTTATGGCATCTGACAATTGAATATATGCAGTATGTATATAACTTCTCTTTGATGGTAATTTCTTGTACAGCTGGGATGTCCTGGAGCCCCTCCTCCCCCTCCACCATGTCCTTGCTCAGCAGACCTTGGTTGACCTGAATACCTCAGACTTATAGCAGAACAGGGGGTCCCTGATTCTTAATCAGCAACACATGAATGCACACGCATAGACTGTGTCAGGACATGTCTTTGGTTAGCTGTTTTAACGAGTGACACAAGTGCAAAAAGACACATTTTACCTCTCACACAATACGAGATAAAGTGAGTGATAAAGACAGAGGGAATGGTCAGACATGTTAAGCTGAGACACAGTCTGATGAAGTAGCCTACAGACTCAGCGATAACAGTGTAGTTGTAAGATCCTGAAAACCAAAAGAGAAAAGGAAAGAGCAACTGTAACGCATCTATGGATTCTACATCACAGTCAACATATACCGCTCAACATATAGGCTACTGCTTTATAAACCATTATAATCTCTGTTCATGCCATTTTTGAGAGCATTTGTTATTTTTATTCTACTTTGTATTATTTTTGACCAATTTTAGGCTATTTCCCGTGTCATATAGGCTATGTTTATTGTAGGCTATAATGTTTAAATGCTTTGATTATTGTAGGCTAATCTGTTGTGCCAAAAAAGCTTCTTTCTGACTGATATAGCTAAGATATAAGATAATTATGACGGCTTAGAGCATGTCTAGAACGTTCATGCAGGTAATAAACTAACAATTAATCCGCAGTCAATTCAGTCGAAGGGCATTACTTTATGCATTTTCAAGACACTGGCGCCATCTTGAGGTCACTGTGAGAAACATACATTTTGTATGGAGGATGCCATGTCTCATGTTTACTCTTTTTTTTGCTGAAATTCGTTCATTATATTAAATGTATTGTCTGTTGGTCACAAATTGTTGAGACATGGTATAAAACATGTCCCATAACTTAACCTGCGTTTAAATAATGTATATAAAATATTTTAACTTAATTTCCACATTGAAATTGTTCTTATCAGAAATGTAGCCTATATTTGATTTGATTTTGTCAAAATTATGGCATTATATGTGACCCTGGACCACAAAACCAGTCTTAAGTCGCTGGGGTATATTTGTAGCAATAGCCAAAAAAAAAAACATTGTATGGGTCAAAATTATTGATTTTTCTTTTATGCCAAAAATCATTAGGATATTAAGTAAAGATCATGTTCCGTGAAGATATTTTGTAAATTTCCTACTGTAAATATATTCAAAATTAATTTTTGATTAGTAATATGCATTGCTAAGAACTTAATTTGGACAACTTTAAAGGCGAAATATTTCTCAATATTTTGATTGTTTTGCACCCTCAGATTCCAGATTTTCAAATAGTCGTATCTCGGGCACATATTGTCCTATCCTAACAAACCATACATCAATGGGAAGCTTATTTATTCAGCTTTCAGATGATGCATACATCTCAGTTTCGAAGAATTGACCCTTATGATCACCTTTCAGCCATTATTTCAGTTTTCTCAATACTTCTTATGCTATATAAATTATAACATTTTACACAAAATCACCATTCTTTAAAGACAAAGCTGATTTGTGTATCTGTGGGTACAGCGCTTTGGGTTCTGCCTCTCATTTTTCAAAGGTAAACAGATTAATCCAGATTTTTTTATATTCACAAAATATTCTTGTTTTTTGTTTTGTCCCAGTGCTAACGGCAAACTTATGCTTATATATTACTGTAATTTAAGCAGGCGACTAACAGATTGCAAAAAGGTAAATATGCGACATCCATATTTGTTGACTTTTAAATAAATATCATGTCACGCAAATAATTACGAAACAATGCAAAGAATATTGAGAAAGATCTTCCCAACGGTAAAGTTACTTTTAATGGTGCCAAAAATAAATGTCTACTATGTCTTTAAGAAATGCTGGGAGACTGACTGTACCATTTTGAGAGAGGGGTGGTTGTTGACGCGGTTTCAAATTAGGCGCTGTTCTCTTTTCACATTTATTAGAGATTTTGGATAAGATTTTTTTTTTTACTTAAACACACTATTGAAAAAAGTTGTTATATAAGCTTAACCAGACGTGAAGTAGTATCAGAATAAAACGCCACTTCGAGTTTCACACCCTATCTGTACTGCACACAAATATTTGCCGCCATTTTTCTGGAGGCAGAAGCTCTACTAACAGGTCTTGCGTTCTTACATTATCATCAGACAACCTTTTGATACAGTTTAACTTTTTAAGTCAGTCCTTGAAATGACTACTAAAAAGAAACGCTCTGCGCACACTGACAACGACAGCTGGGTTGTCATTGCTCCAGGTACCTTACATTTTCAAGTTTATTGTGTTGCATGTTACACACATGTTCTTTCAGAAACATTGTATACGCAGTCTTCATTGCACAACATATTTTACTGAGGAGTTGTAATAATGACAAATGTTGCATTAGTAAGTATGCAAACGTTAGGGTCAGTATAGCCCACCTAAATCTCCATGCTGTTCTGTTTTCTTTTAATAAATCTAATCTAATTTAAATATATATATATATTTTTTCACCCTTCACTTTCAGATTCAGCACTGGACACAGGCAGGTCTGAAGAGGGTGATCCGTCCTTCATCAAACTAAAGAATCCTGCTACAGGTATTACTATATCAATTAAATTAACAGCAACTTGCAGTTTAGTAGTATGTAGTGGTGATGTCTATCAGAGGTTTATCTAAATAAACTGCAACTGACTGACAGTTCTGCCTTTATTTGTGAATGCAGGCAGTTCTTCACTGTACCTGTTTGGCTGTGGTGATGTCTGTGTTTATGAAGTAAAAGCCTTTTCTGAAGACTTTCGGTCTTGGTTCATTGGACAGACAGTGCAAAGAGGTAAGCTTTCCTTACAGAACATGAGCTATCCATTCGACATCCATTTACATGCTCAACGTTTAGTAATCTGCTGTTGACATCTAAATGAACTAATTGTTCACTTTTGTATCTGTGTCCTCAGATGGTAGACTGCTGTATGTGACTCCCATTGATCCTTTATTTTTGCTGTTGCCATACATTAGCAGTACTGCCACTGAGGTTAACAATTAGTTAAAATGCAAATATTACAGTAAAAGCCATTAAGATGAGCTTCATCTGTAATGACAGCACTCTTCCTATAGGGAAAGTTCCAGCCGGCAAAGCAGATGATTATGGATGAGGATTACCCTGGATGCACAAGACTTCTGCATTGCAAACAGGGACTGGATTCCCTTCATCATGTGGCTGATGAGAAAGGTGTGTGTTTGAATCTATAGGCACATATAGGCCAAATTAGTTACAGATACAGTGTGATGTCCAAATTTTGTTGAATATATTAAAAAAAATGGAATCCTCTTTTTCAGAGGTAGACTGTTTAAAGTTTCACAGATATAACCAGGAGAAGACCTTGGAGTGGCTCAAGAAAAAGGTTTATAAAATGTTTAACTTGTATAAGAATCATAAATTATATCAACAATGAGTATTGAAGTTGCATTTAAAAATATTAAAAAAATGTCTTTCAGGTCCAACGCACAGTATTAACACTCAAAAAGAGCAACATATCTGTGGGTGGAGGAGTTAAATCCAGCATGTTCGTCAGAGTGAAACATGAAGATGCTACTGAAGGTAAAAGGATAAATAAATATGGTTGGATTATGTTTGTATGGGTTATTTACTAATGTTAGTGTATTTGTTATTCTTTTAGAGGACTACTTACGTTATGCACATGGTCTCATATCAGAGTACATCAGTGAAGACCTGAGCAAAGCTCTCCTCAAGCATCTGCAGTATGTACACCTACACCGATTAAACACTGATCGTTCACATCACCTCACAAATAGTGGTTGACCGATATATATTGCCATGGCCAATATATCGGCCGATATTTGGAATTTTTTTAATTATTGTCATCAGCCAGTAATTTTTTTCTGTTTGGTGATAATACCAGAAGTGGGACTTTTATTTTGACCAGCACCTAAACGCACAAAGCTCCCGTTCTCTGTCTTTGTTAGTTTACTATCTCTGTTTAACAGTTCTGATTAATAAATGATTACACAGAACTTAAGGTACACAAAAAAAGTATTACAGCGTTGCTTTATTATTAGTAATAGAAAAGCAAAATAGTTATAATAGTTTCTCATCTATTATCAGCATTCAGCAAATAAGCATTTCATGTAATCGAGTCTTTTTATATCTATATTTTATATTTATATCTTTAATTTCACTAAAATTACAAACTCAAATTCAGAGATCCTCTAAAATGTGCATTTGTAGACTGCATGAACACATGCATAAACACACGTTAATTGTTGGTCCATGCAAATTATTTATTTTCAAATTATACAGTGGTGGCCAAAATGATTAGAACGCTAGTATTTTCACCAGCTAAATGGTTTTAAGTCAGTTATTTCTATCTTTTGCTGTAGTGTGTCAGTAGGAAATAAGCTTACATTTCCAAACATTAATTTTGCCATGAATTGTAATAATCCGGTGAGATTTTTGTTTGCACAAGGAATGGCATGTAGAAACAGAACAAACTGAGACAGACTAAATCCAGAAGAACTGTGGCAACATCTCCAAGATGCTTCAAGAAACCTACCTGCAAAGCTACCTGAAAAACTATGTGCAAGTGCACCTAGGGCAAAAGCTGCTTTAAATGCACCAAATGTTGATTTAATTTAGTTAATAGAAGTTGATTGATAAAGGAAATCTATTTATGACTCATTTTACAGCATTTTTACACAGGTGCCTAAAACTTTTAACAGTACTGTAGCTTTGCAGGTAGGTCTCTTAAAGCATCTTGGAGATGTTGCCACAGTTCTTCTGGATTTAGTCTGTCTCAGTTTGTTCTGTTTCTTCATGTAATCTCAGACAGACTAGTTGATGATCAGATCTCTGTGTGGAGCACTGGCTGCTGTCAGACATGGCAAAATGAATGTTTGGAAATGTAAACTGATATTTCCTACTGACACACTACAGCAAAAGATAGAAATAACTGATTTAAAACCACTTTTTAGCTGGTGAAAATACTAGTGTTCTAATAATTTTGGCCTCCACTGTATAATTTGTAAATGTTATGTAAAATAAATTTTAATTTAATTTCAACAATTGTTATGCATGTATCTTTAAACAGTGTGATATCATATAAAGCGGTTTTACATCGACCTTGGCCACCGTGCTCTCTTTTGCATCAGCCATAAAAAAAAGTCCATATCAGTTGACCACTACTCTGAAACATGCAGGACATTCATATAGTTATGCTTATGTAGTTACAACATTTTTTTTTCTCTTATGTTACAAGGTTGCCAGAGATATCCAGCCCTAAAGAGACAGAGCCGCCTTCTAAGGTACATCTTTCTGCTTGAAATACCAGTGTTTTGTTTCACTATTTGCATGCTACTGCCATGCTTGAATGTTAATAGTTGAATTATGTCTGGTCTTGCTTTACTTGAATTTATGCCTTGTTAATCATTTGCTTTCTGATTCCTATTTCTTCTTAAACTCAATCAGCTTGTCATTGTTTCATGCAGCATCATAAATGCTTTGTTTCTGAATGTAGTTAGAGGAATGGTGTAGCAGTTCAGTTAGATTCAAAAGATCTTTTGGTGGACTTAGTTTTTCTGACTGCTGTCTTGCATTTGATAGAAACGGAAACTGTCAGATAAACCAGTAGAGGCTGGGGAAGACTACACCAAGTTCAACAGTGCTGATTTTGCACGAAAAGTGAGTTAGAATCACAAACACAGCGGTGATGGGATTGATGATACAAGCATTGAAAGAAATGGAATTACATGCTACAGCAGAACTGTCCTTTTCTCTCTGTCTATGCCTAAAAATCATTCAGCAGTTCATGCTTCAAATACTGTTGGTCGTAAATGCATTTCCTGCTTAATTTTAGATACTGTGCTACAGTTTTGATAAATCTATATTTAAAATATGTTCTATGTTATCTCAGCCACCAAAGAAGATGACTGCAGCTCAGAAGAGTCTTGCCAAAGTAGACAAAACTGGCATGAAGAGCTTGTCAGCATTCTTCAGCCCCAAAGTCAAACAAGAGAAGAACTGAGTGAGTGTTTGTGTGAGTGTCAAAACATTTTGCTAATAAAGTTATTAGAAAATAATTTCTGTTCCAATTGATTTGTTTGCCACTCATTATGTGCTGTGCTTAATGCAAAGCTGTACTAAAATTATAAAAAAATAAATAAATAAAACTTTCACTTTTGGTGAATTTAATGCATCCTTGTGGAATAAAAGTATTAATTTCTTAAAAAAACAAAAAAGTCACTGACCCCAAAATTTAAATGCTAATGTATATAACATTCTTCATTGGTCCATGATTTTAGATAGCAGCTTCAGTATGTAGTAGTAGTTAATTTCCTTCAACTTTATTCACTATTATTTGCTGATAAAGACTCATTGCACCTGTTGTTATTGTGATCTTAGTTTTTATAGTATGAAAGTGTAATACCCAATTCCTGCTTCCTTTTTAAAAAAAAAAGAAACCTGAAATTTTTAGCTCTGGATTCAAACACATGCATCTAGTTCCTCTTTATAGGCTTTAATGCTTTAAAAAAACAGTCTCGCTAGTAGAAATACATCTGAAGTAGTTAACACACAATTGAGCACTCTTTTGCTGCTTAGCTTACTTAACCACAAATCATCATAGACATTATAAACAAAAAAAAAGATTGTACAAACCTATACACTAAGGCACCTAGTACCAGTTTGAGGGATTTATATAAAGAAATGCTATAGTAAGGATCCCCAAAGATTTACTGTATTAGATTAGACTTGACTTAAATGCAAAGTAGAGGTGTTAGTTTTGCATTTGGTTAATTAAGACTCACCTATCATAATTAGGCAGTTAATAGCTAGCCCCTTGGCCTTGATGTGTTTTGCATCACTCATATGTCTGATCATCTGACTAGTACATCAGATAGGTGATCCTCAGATCTGTGTTATTGTGATAAGGAAATTCCAGTTGCTCTGTCTGGAATCAGTGCGCAGGGCGATTGTTCAGTGGTTACGCTCTGTTAATGGCCTTAAGCGTTTGCTATGGCGAGCTACTGAAAAAGAGATTCTGATCTGCTGTGGATAATTTATGAAGCTCTGGCAGTGAGTAAGCACTGACATTACGTCACAGAGCTCACATCTTCTGTGGTGAGTCAGATTATTCCTTATTCTTTCTTCCAGGTCCAACTTCTTCACGCACATCTGTGAAGTTTTAGTTGTCCTCTGGGCACAACAAGTGGAACAGCTTAAGCAGCTAGTCTTTCTTCTTGAGTTTGGGTTTGAATCGCAGAGTCTGAAAGGCACTCTCCACCACTTTTGGCAGGTGGATTGGGTTTCGTTGCAGACGTCTCCTGCTGCCTGTGCTTCCCATGTCCCCCTTCCGCTGGGCTGCCTGCCCGTGACTGATTTCTGAATCCTTGGGCTGCGGCTCCGTCATGGAGATTCGATGAGGATCCCGAAGCACCCAGTTAGAGTGAAGGTCATGCTCGCTGGTACTGGTTGCCACTATAGAAACATTAAAATGGGAGTATGGAGAGAAACCAACATAACAAACAATAAAAAACTAAGGACTGAAACTAGTTAACCAATTTTTCTATTAAGATGTGCAACATCCCACAATTGCATCTTCCATGCTGCCTTTAAAGTACACTAGAGATTAAGTAATAAGCGCCACACTCACCTATGAAATCTACATCTGCATGCCCATTGTCCACATGTGGTTTTCGACTTGGCTCTGGGTCACAGCTTGCAATGACTTCATCAAAGAACTGGAGTGTGTCTTCCTCATTTGGGATTGGTGGAGCAGAAGGTTCAGGCCTTGAAGTCTTTGAAATAAGATGATATATATTGTACATGCGTAGTTGCATTGCTTATTTAATCTAATTTCATTAGCACAGGTTCCTTCTAGGTTTTTCTGACTATGATGATACATTTTAGAGTTTAGAGACAGTTTAGAGTTGATAGGAAACGAAGTGGGAGAGAGAGGGGGCGGGTCCTCGAACCGGGATTCGAACTCGGGATGCTTGTAGTGCAACAGCACTGTATGTCGGCTGTGCTAGAACTGATAAAGCACAAAACTAAAACTGTTGTACCTCTTAAAAATGAATAGCCAAACATCTGCATTGGAATATTCTTAATAAACAACTCACGACTAGATTATAAATAGGCTATCCTTAAGAGAATAAATAATATACAGAATAAGACTGAACTTATTTATATTTTTTAACACAGAATGCTCAGATATAGGCTAATACAGATTTCAGTTGATAGCAGACAAATTGGCATAAACTTGCTTTACTTTGCCCTAACAATGTTCAAAACTTCTGCTATGTTTAAACATGTAAGCCTTGTCCTGTTTCCTCTCACCTGTGCAGCTCTGTTTTGTGGTGGCCGGGGTGCGGGGTTCTTGCGGGACACGGTCTCTTTGCGCTCGCTGTTCTTGAGGTCGTTGATGCTCTTGGTGTACTGCCGCCTGAGCGCGACCAGTTCCTGTAAGTACTCTAAGCAGTTCTGGTTCTGGGAGTAGAGCCATACTCGGTCCTCTCGGCTCTGGTAGTAGTACAGGGCCGTGCTGGCCTCGACACTCACGGCGCTCACGCTTCGCTTCAGCGTGGAGTCCTGCGGCGCGCGACTGCTCTCCCCCACCACGAGCATCGACGTGCTCCGGACCAGTTTGACGGTGCACGCGCTGTGGTAGTCCTCATTGGGCCTGAACCGGTCCCGTGAGCGAGGTCCAAGGAGGTTCGGACGGAAAACTGCGTTGATTTTCTTAAACATCACAGTCGGTGTCTGGGTGCTGCAGTTTAGTGGTTAAATTCTGGGCTGATATGAGAACGGATGTTGGTTCAAACCCCACGAGGGTTCTATCACCATTGTGCCCTTCATCAAAACACTTTATACCGTAAATCACTTGAAAAGCTTAAAACACGTCAAAAATGTACTTAGCTTGCTTGCTTGTTTAGTAACCTTTAAATCTGTAAAATTACTTTTATTGGCGATAGTCAGCCTGTTCTGCTTCTCCATATCCCTCTCCACGCGAAAACTTTCTTTATATCTTGAAGAAATTCAGAGCCAAGATGGAGATCTTGTCCATGGTGCCGAAGTGCTGTTTTTGATCCAAACGCGTCAAGGACGTATTGCAAGCGATGACCATTTCTTACCGTATGAAAGAAGTCATGGTAGGGTTCTTAGGCAGCCATGGAGACGGTGCGCTTGTAACTCTACACTAACATATGAATAATTAACCAGCATTAGACATATTAGGCTACACACATGTGCTGGCTATCACAGTTAGCCCTATAATGCATATGTTACATCACATGCATTTTTGTATGCATAAAAAAATATTTAATCAGAATGTAGATGTGTGTGCACACAATTTCAGGATGCTTCAGGTAAACCATAAATCACCCTGGATAAAGGATCTCCTAAATAATAGCTTTGTAATCTATTTACTTTTCTTTCTAAATATAGCTTATAATTCAGAAAAATTATTTAACATTTATATATATGCAACTGACTATAGATAAAAGATGGAAAATGAAAACTAAATTTTTCTAATCCTTTAGTTCAGACAAATATTTTTTAAAATACATTTTCCTATAAAGAATTTACTGTTTCTTTCATGTTTTTGAACTGCATTTAAATATTCTGAATAAAAACTTTCTATAGATATCTTTAAGAAACTAAATAAGCTTATAATTATAAATAATAAGAATGTTATTTAACATTTACTGTATGTAACTGAATATATAGATAAAAGATGGAAAACTACATTTGTGTTTAACCCACATACATTAACAAATTAATACAAATTAATTTTTTTAAATATAAAAATAGCAAGCTAAATGTGAACATATGACAATTAGACAATAATAGTTGTTGTTACTAATTTAAAACTATCATAAAATAATACATTTAAATATATTGAAATTAATCGATGTTCTGTGATGCTTTTAGGTTTGACTTGATGGCATGTTGGAAACATTACAAAAGAACTTTGTTTTTCCTGTTACTGAATGACAATACTTTATTTTTTTTTGCTAAATTATCAGTGGATACATCTGAGACAGATGTGTCTCATATATATTATCAGAACTTATTTAAAAATAATGAATTGCTGGGTCTCAGGAAGATAAATGCAAAGATGAGAACAGAATCCATTCATATTAAACAAATGCTTCAGACACTTGAGCTAGAGCCACTACGGCAGGACGGCTAAAGTTTCTGGTGGGATATTGGGTGGACTCTGGGAGCTGTGTGGTCTCCATTAAGGGAGTTTATTCCTTGTGTGTATTGAAGCATATGGATCCTCAAATGCAAACTGTGCGTGTGTTGCTTCAGGATAGCAATCATACATTTGTGTTTTATATCTTATTTTTATTAATTTATTATCATTTACTTATATATAATCATACAATCATTTATAAGCATCAGCCATTTAAGGAGGCCTAGTTTTTAATTTGATTATTTACATTTAATTATTTAGTCATTTATCTCATTTATCATTTAATAATTTATTCAATAACTATTTTATTATGTTTTATGTTATATTTCGTATTATCTTTGCTTATAGTGTTTCCTATAGTTGTTTAATCTTATGATTGTGGAGTTTCATGAAATGTGTGTTCACGAATAAGAGATGAGAGGGAACATCACAAATGCAAGGTTTTGTGGGATGTTGCTGAGAAGCAGGTTGGTATAACAACACTTGTTACATTTGTGCTGGTCAGATAAAGTCTGAGCATTGAAACTGAGATTATTCAATAAACTTTGCTCCTTTTTACTATCATCAGCTTGTCTCTTTTTTCTGCTCTTCTCTGACTTTACTCAGTCAAATTCTTGGCTTTTAAAAGACTTAATACAGTTTAGGGTACCAGACAAAACACTGGATTTGGGTACCGGACAAGACTTGCTGTTAAAGGCACAATATGTAATTTTCGTCACTAGAGGGTGCGTATTCAAAATAAACAAAGAAACAAAGGCGTACGACACAATGACACTATGGACACGGTCCGTGTCACTAGTTAAAATTGCTTATTTCTCTGGATTTAAACATTCTTCGAAACAT